CGACGAAAACAACGTCGCCACAGAATAGATTTCTTTCCAGTATGGCGTTGGTTTTGGTTGAGTGAATGGAAACGCTAAAAGAAAGTAAAACAAAGGTAAAACTCAATGCTTAAAAACTCCCTTACCCGCTTGTATACATTTTTTACTTTTTAACTGCTTTTTCGTTGATTGCGTCTAAGTAGTAAAGTATTGGAGCAAACTTTTAGGTATTAAACAAAAAAATGCATTACAACAAAAATTACACATATTTAAGCTGTAAACACAAATATCAATACAGCAGACAAAACGTAATACTTCAATACATAACCTTTAAAACCCCGCAATGATTTTAAACCAAACTATTTCCCACAAAGACCCATTTCAACATCGACAAAGCACACGTTTTACCCAGAATTACCGGGCGAATCGAGCTGTACTAAAATAAATTGTTTTCCCCGTCGGCGGTGATTGAAGACTTGTCGAGCGAGAGAGAGCGTCGAGGTCGATGACACGTATTCACAGTTGCAGTTGCAGCTCGGTGCATACACCCCGCTGCATCGACCGATGCACTTCCCCCCTCCCCGCTCCACCAGCGCTCGAGTTTCACCTAGTTTCCCCTTCCACTTGCACTCTTCGCTCAGCTGGGGTAGATCTATACATCGATTCTCATCCCCAACACAAAGTAGAGTTGAGGAAAATTGAAGCTATTCGTTCATCTGATTCGTTCTTTGACTGTACAGAAGCTGTTGATGAGTTTAGTTAGTAACTTCAATCAACATACGTGTTAATTTTGCGGAGAGTAAATAAAAATAAGTCTGATAACACTTGAAACATATATTTACACTAACTGTTTTACAAGACGACCGATAAAAAGATATAAAAGATGGTAATGGTGATCAATTTCGATTGGACACTCCAATCGTCATCAGACCCAATAAGCGATTTTGACTTGGTATTTGGCAGCCTATTTAGACCCATAACAACATTAGATTCGCCTATTGGGTCTAATGACGATTGGAGTGTGCAATGGAAATCTATAAAGTATTTAATATACAGGGTGGCTGAAAAGTAACTTGCACCCCCCCCCCCCTTAACTTTTCAACCATTTGAGATATTTGAAATCAGTTTGTGGCAACCTTCTTAGATATGAGGGGCTACAATAATTATAATCAATTTTGAAAATTTTGCCCTTAGAGGTAGCGGGGGTAGGGGGTAGCTCAAAATTTTAAAATGACAAGTATAGTCGAGTTTGATATCATTTTACAGGTAATGACAAAACATAAACATTGACATAAAGAAAACCAAAATCGGCTCACTTATAACAAAATGACGCCCTAAAACGTTTCAAATCCAAATAACCATGAGGGTGGCAAAAAAATTAACTTGCACCCTCTTTAACTTTTTAACTATTCGAGATATTTGAAATCGGTTTTCGGCAACTTGTTTGGATATGAAGGGCGACAATAATTATGGTCAGTTTTGAAAATTTTTCCCTTAGGGGTAGCGGGAGTTATGTAGCTCAAAATGTTCAAACAGCAAGTATAGTCGAGTTTGGTATCATTTTGTAGGTCTTGACAAAACATAACAATTAATTTTACTTAATAGAAATCGGACCATTAATAACAAAATAGCAGTTCAAAATTTCTTCAAATAACAATTGTCTCAATCATTTTTAGCTGCCATTAATCATGCATAACAATAGACCAAGTGTGATTAAATTTACTTTGTTGAATTAAGATGAACAGTCATTCTCGAATTCCATTACTTTAGGTGGATATGACTTCAGCACAAATTTTAGAATTGTTACGAGTGTCAAAGTCTTTTATCGGTTTAATGAAAAAGGTTAACATAACCGATTAATTTATGCTATAGGAAATCTGTTATGAGTTTTCGGTTCACCTACAGATTTTATAAAATAAAAGACAACTTTAATAACATGCTCAAGTAAAATTGAAATTATCCTTTTCTGCACGAAGAAAAATTAGTTTTACCCCAAATATTGTTCCCTTAAATTTCCTTGGTCAACAGCAAAATGTAAAAATGAAGTACTGAGCAACTACCAATTTTGCTAGAAAGTATATGGTGTAAGAATATGTAGTTTGGAAGAAATATCTTACTATTCAGTTTGATCAATTTTGCAATCAATTCTTTTTGTCTACGACAAATTATCTCTTCAAATTACTCGGTTTTATTTGTGAAAGATAAAAATTAAAATCGCACGGACATTTGTAAGTTTTCAAATGTCTTTTTTTTATTATAGAAAAAACTCGTACGTGATTACTGAAAAAGTCTTGTGAATGCCAACGCAAAAGTTTAACCTTTTAAATCAAAGCAACACGCTATGAACAAGACATGTACCATCAACACACATGTGTTGACATGTGTGATCTTTTCAAGATCATGTGGAGAATGTGTTTTTTTTAACGATATTATTCTTACAAAATGTTAAAAACAGTAAAAATGTAGGGGTTTGTCAATATTCTATTGTTAAAAATGGATGTGGGTTATTTGAGAATAGTTTTTTATCATGGTAAAATATTTTGATATTAGGTTTTTAACATAATCTTAAATAAGGGTTTTTAAAAATATATTGAAACTTTAATAGAAATTAAGAAAATCACAAAAGTTTTTCTAATAAAACTTAAAACCAGAAGCGCGCTCAGTCTACTGGACAATTACGAACTACTGGGTCGGTAATGAAGAATCTAAAAATGTCTACTTTACAGTAGAGAGTTGGTGATTCAATTAACATTAAGTAAAAAGCAGTAAAAATAAAAGCGCTATACAGGCGCCTGTCTCCATAGAATAATGCTTATACAACATACATAATTGAATTATAAGAAAAAACAAATTTCTTCAAATACAGTCCAAAATTAAGGCACGGCTACCACCTGGCGGAACATAACAGAACTGATTGCTGCTCGTAGTTTGGGGTTTTGTCGCTAGATAGCAGCACTGACTAGCCAGGCACTGAGCGCTCCTGGCGGAGAATTCACGAAACTGGAACTGGTGGTTTTACGATTTGCCACTAGGAGCGTTACCGCACGAGCTTGGTCAGAATCGGAGAATCACAGATTCACATATGTTGTAAAAAACTTATTGCATGCCAAATTTTAAGGTTTATAAGGTCGTAATTACAGGAACTTTACAAAATATTTTGTATGCACATATTCTCACTACTAAAAAAAATAAAAATTTGCTAATTTAATATACTCGTGTTATTCTTATGAAGAATATTGTAGATATGTAGATTGTCGTAGTTTGTTTGTTTATGGAAATATTTTGATCAACACAGAGGATACGCGTCCGGTAACCAGACGAGGATTAGGCGTCCGGTAACCAGACGTGGATTAGGCGTCCGGTAGGGGATCCCGGAACGCCATTACCACAATGATACGATGATCAGCCATCAGTGTTCGTGGTGTAGTGGATAGAGTGCTCGGCTGATATGCGAAAGCTCCCCGGTTCGAAACCCATCAGTTATTTAACTTTTTGTCACAGATTTTGCTTTGAATGTAATTTCTTCTTAACTGTACATCTTTTGTTAGAATTTTCGGCATTTATAATTTTATGTTATGAAGAGAATTGAACCTTCATTAGATTTTTTTCACTATCAGCAAGTTTGGTTGGTTAGGTTAGGTTATGACAGTAACTGCCGGACGCCTAATCCACGTCCGGTTACCGGTCGCGTATCCTCTGCGTTTGATCAAACTTGGCAAATTTATTTACTTTATAGTAAACTACTAATATTTTACTAAAAACCACACTTTATTAGCCTCTCTGTAGCAGCAAACCTAGGTAAAGGTTAACCTAAATGTTTTTATAATAGATTTAAAAATCAATTCATGAATATGGAAATTCACTTAGTCTGCAGGTTTGCAGCGGCGGGGGTATTTTTTCTTAACCATTGTATAACTGAGCTCCCTAAAGATACGCGCGAATAAATTGTATAGTCTGTTGTATAAATATAAATTGTATGTTCACATAATTGGTAATTTGATTTTATCAAAATTTGATCAATCATGATATTAATCACAATATAAAATCTCAATAAATAATAGGTAGTCAAATAAAATAATCAATACAAAATGATCCAATATTAATTAAACATTCATTTAATGATTATAAATTACAACAACACTCCCAATGACATTTTTCTAGCGCCTTCAAATATAACGAAGCAAAACAGCTACAGCAATGTATTGGGGGAATTGCCGTGACCTAAATGCAGGCGTTTACTGAAAGTCCTACCGTACAAACTGACTTATCACGGGAAATAGGAGAATTAATAAAAAACCTTTTACGAATATTTAACACCATCCACCTGTTTGTCAGAAGTAGATTTTCTTCATCCATAGAGAGTTCCAAATGTGTTTAATAGGGTGTATCCCTTGTAAGTTCACGATATTCGGGAATAGCACACTTATAAACTAATGGTTAAATCACAAACGAAAATAATTGTTAAATCACAATAAATCTTATTCATCTTGGAAACGTATACATCAATTAAGCGTATGGAATAAAATTGATTTAAAATATGATTTAGGAAACAACAAAAGAAAGCATTATAAACCAATATGTTAACCTTTAAAAGTGAAAAGACAACCTATCCAAACTATATAATTCAGTTAATTGTTTATACCAGGAAAGTTGTTGTGGGGTAGTTTTGATTTTTCCGTTTGGTATGTCTGTTGGGGTGCTGAATCCGAATTTGAGGTTTGCTATAAGACATTCTTGACACAACATTAACAAAAAAGTGAAACGAGGAAAAAACGTAGTTTTTGGTGTAGCGTATGCGTATGACTCAAAAATTATCAACTTTATGTAAATGAGTTATATTACACACAAAAATTAGTACATTTAAATACAAAACTGGATTAATAAACACATTTATCTTATACCTTTGATTCTAGAGGTTAAAATAAGGAATATATGAGTAAATATTCCTATCTACAATGGTGTTGTCCATCAGTATCAAAGGTCAGCTACAAGAGTATGGTTTTGGGATTAAATTAACTCACCTGTGGGTTTGAGAAGAACTCGTACTTCCTGAAGTCCTTCCTGAACACGAACCTCTTGGGCGAGTGACGAGAGAACGCCTGGAGCTCCCTGTGAACCGCCATGACTTCCTCGTGGTCCTCCAGGCTCCTCTCTGGAACAACAGGGAGCGATCAGTTGGTCACTCGTGGTTACATTACTGTCAGATTAATTTATTGTGATTTCAACAATGTTGATTTGTGTAGAAACCGTGGTTATACACAAATTGAATCCCGTGCATTACCAAGGGTAGAGAACGCAAAGAAGATGGTGATTCTTCACCGTCATGTCCAATGGAAACTGCTCTTGTTCTTGATGTAAATTAATTTGATCAATGCACAAGGAAAAATACTCTACAGATGTATTTTCCCAGTTGGAACACACAAGGCACCGTCCTAACTATAGTTCTTGGTGTCACTAAATCATTTTTGTCTATGGTAATGTTAGAATCAAAAGGTTAACTAAAGGAAAAGTAAAACAAACAAACTAGAATAAAACAAATCTAACAGCTGATGTATTTCCAATATTTTAAATGTGATTAAAAATGCACGACTTTAATTGAGATTCTGCCCTTAGTAGAGGGTTTATTTTTCAGGGAAGTTTCACAGCAAGACCTTTCATTCAAGTATGTTTGATAGTTGTGCGGCTTATGGTTTTCTCAAAAGTTCAAAACCTTCCAACCTTTATAATAGATTAATAGATTTATCCAACGATAATTTAACTCATTCCAAAAATTTATACAAAATTACCACAACATATTTTTAGTAGACAGTTTTCGACTAAAATTTAAGATATTTTAGACCACTAAAAGAAAATATCATTAATTGCCTCTAGAAGTTAAGGCGTTACTTAGCGTCGGTAAACAAGCTCAAAGTGAATTAATTGTGGCTCCAAAGAACGGCTAAATATAAACCACTCAGCAGAAATAACAGCCTCTGTTGAAGCCTAATGCAGGTTTCTTGTATCAAAAGAAACGGAGGAAGGTTTCTTATCCTCCAACTTAGCTACGTTTCTGAAGCAGTGACGTGTTCACAAACAACAACCTCCATAGTACAGCATGGATAAATACCCAGGGCATCCACCCCACACCAACTATAAACATGGGGTCATGATGTTTGTAGTGTGATCTTTATAAATAATCTGTCGATCTATTATAACAGTAATAAGTTACGGAGATAACAAATCCTAAGCACCACCCTATCTTTGATTTATCTTGAATCACAGGCTCTCATTTGAAGTCATAAAAATAAAATAAAACACCGATACACAATTTGTTCACATGAACTTGATTTATTTGTGTTTCTACGCAAATGCTTTTAACGTATTAAAATATAACGGGTTTGTTACTATTTTTACGCTAAACTACACTATTTTGACGAACTTCCCACGCAAGGATTTAATCCAGAAAACAGCTGTTTGCCACCAGCTTAATCAAATGGGGTTTCATTACGCACTACTGTACTGTAATGAGTTTTACCGGAAACCAATCAGCTGATTATACTGTATTTGGCGATGAGGGTTTATAAACAAAAACATGACCTCTCTTAGAGGTTATGACTAGTGATTGTTAGTCCTTTAGTTGGTGGTAATATATAAGGATTAGAACAGATTTAGTAGTATGGCTTAAACTATCGTACGTCACTCGTTCAAAATGTGTTTACCGGACTCGTATGGTAATCCCGTACTCGCACGGAAAGATCACACTCGTCCGGTAAACACATATTTTCGGGGCTAGTAACGTAATATACTATTAATTCAACACTTATGTTAAATAACATCATCAATTGTTGGTCCAATGACAATTGGCATCTGGGCCCAAACCATCGATGGCCCAAACACCATCTCGCTTGTATTCGAACAACCGACCTACAGACTTGAATGCGAGCACTCCCAGACAATTTTGAATTTGGGTTTTTTTTGTAATTTCAGACAGTTTTGCTTATTGACTAAGCCAATTTTTAGATGGTACATAGTATGTGTAAAGCTACACACTTAAGAATTAATGAATTAAAATACCATTATTTGCTAGCGTTTCTCAGGTACATACGATTTCCAGAACAACTATTGTCATATACTACTAACAACCTAATATTGTTTGTATGTCGTTTTTTAACAAGTATGGATAGAGTTTTCTGGTGTAATAGCACATATGAATGTGAAATGGTATAAGTAGTCCTACAAAAATACCAATGGAAACCAAGGAATCCTCTATATTTTTCAAACCAATTTTAACGATACTGTATTAGCAAAATGCAACTTGAAAATATTGGATAATTTACTTTAGAGCTAAAGTTTTCTTTTAAACTAACGTAAACATCCTGTATTATTTTTCGCTCGTTACAAGTTTTAGGTACAAAACTCCAATTGTTTAATCGCAAGGGTGATAAAGGCTTAATAAGCTGTAATCTTAAGAACGAAAGGAATTCCCAGGTGGTTAGAAAATGCGTTAGCCGGATGGAGGTGATCAGTCAAAGGGATGTTTAGGGGGGTACGGGGGGTACTAGGGGGTATGGGAAGGGGGGTACTATTCCATCCATTAGGCGAGACTGCTCCGAAGCGACTTAGGCAAGCAATCTGATTGGTGTCTAATTTATCAAAGCACTCCAAGATTAATAACACCGGAAGACAAGGGAAATCTCATAGGGCGATTCATCTTGGACCGATGAACCTTAGTAAATTAATATCAAGAGCGGAGAATTAAGAGATTTGTTTGTAAACAGCAATTCAGAATGCTACATGTAAGTGTATAGTGTACAAACTGACAATTACACACTGATACACTCACAGTGTTTTGTTGAATCGGAGTATTTATAAAAACTGTATCAGTAAAACACATAAGTCAATATTAAAAAATGGCGACAAGTTTAAATTTCAAACAGTTAATCTGAGACACACATTAAAATCAAACTGCAAACGGCGTCTCCTTTCTAGGAATTAATATCAGTTATTTGCCGAAAGCCAAAAATAAATGGTTTTGTTAACTATTTTTGTTACGTAAAAAATTTTTAGTTTTTCATACTGTTGTGTCAAGATACTACAACCAAACCTTAAAAATAAAACAATTACGTCAAGTCTAAACATCCAAAAGATTCTTTCCGCTATCTGCCACCAAAGTTTTGTGACCACTCAATTCTTCAAATTTTCTCAGAAATTGAGTGTCTCTTGAAGAAGTTTTGAAGTGTGAAGATGAAGATCTCAAGCTTGTCTCGGAGTTTGTCACAAGAACAATCGTGACAGAACTTGACGATTTGTTCACCTTTAGAGGGAAAACTTGTCGATAAACCTTATCAGTAAACAGTTGGGGTCAAGCTGTGATAGCAAATGTATCTGAAAATAGTACTACGGCATCACTAAACGTAACCGTCGTACGATATTGCGTAGTCTTATCAAATTCGGCGCCATTCTTATCCGCCAATTTATCAATGTCATCTTTGATTTAACACATGTTGCAAACTGGGCGATATCGTCGTCAGCTGGGATTAGGATGATCAGCTGACTAGTACGCTTACTCAATGTTCGCAATTTATTTGCAATGGTTAACGGTTTGTAATAAGGTCTGTGGAAGTTTTGATAATATACTTAAATCAATTTAAAACGAGTATCCAAAACTGTGTTTTATATCAACGAATAGACTTTCCGTTGAATTTAACTTTAGAAGATGGCTTTACAGACATACATGTCCAAGTATATAGTTTGAGGTACCATTTCGGTGTCGAAACAAGTTGTTAAGTGACATTTTGTGGCTAATAATCCGATTTTACACGTTTCCAACACCTAAACCGTGTCTTACAGGATAACCAATCGTGGCAAATGGGGTGATGAAACTATTTCTACCACATGACAACAACAAAATTTGTAATTTCTGTTAGGTTATATCACGTTATACCGAACACACCAAATTAGGTTAGGTAAACAACATGTTTAATGAAAGTTAAATTTTAGTGCACAAATAACCGCAAATAACCAAACCTAACCTAACCTGGTGTCGTCTTTTGACTGCTATAATGCTATGAATTGTATAAGCCCGTTTAAGTTCATAACTTTATTACTCTACAATTCTAAACATTCGCATTCTCGTCACAAAATGGTACATTCGTGCGACAGGAAATTAGCTTCACGAAGTTGAGGGCGGAAAACACAAAACTGTCAAAGACGTGGGTAGGGTGCGGTGAAAGTATGTGTACCACATCAAACGACGGGGGGAGACTTGGGGAGAAATGTCAGAACTACATGACATCGCTGGCGGCAAAACACTGACATACGCACATTCACACGCACACACGTACAACACATTCTAACTATGAGCTCCACTAAGTGAAATGGGTACGCTAATCTTTTGCCCTACAGAAGCGCCAAGTAGGCTGAAAACAAAATCTCTATACACACAATTATACTGATCTTAAAACATATAATACAGGAAATAAGGAAGAAAATAACAGATATCGTAGCCTACCAATTTGAAATGTACATATGAAAAAACAATCACTGTGAATCGATAAAAAGTGTGTATGTTTAAATTGCATTAAATTTGTCATTTTAGCCAAGTAAAAGCCTGATGAAGGAGGAAGGTGTACAAAGTCAGAGATCTACTATAGAACCTGATGTAACTTCTGATCAAACATCGCCTACACATCTCCAATGGGAGGATGGATCACGAATATAAAGTCGAAGGCAACTCCCGCTGGACATTGGTTGATTGGAGATCAGAAGTTTGTAGTAAACAAATCAAAGATCAAACAGCTGGTCTCTTGAGATTGCAATGCGAACGATTAGAATCCGCATCCCACTAGCATTGATTATTATTGGATACTGAAGTAGACACCATCTATATGGACCAGCTGTCGCCAATTTTTTATTTAAAACTTGTGTGAGCAAGTCACAGATTGCTCTAGCGTCTATTCAAATTCAATTGTGTTATATCTTGTGGTCGTGCATCAATTGCGCCCAAGAGTTCCTTAATTGCGCTTATCCCTAAAAGAGTCCAAAAATGTTCCTTTTATCTATGTCTATACTCCTTTTATCTATGGTGTTATCCTAACCTATCCTCATCTAACCTAACTTAACCTAACCTAACGTAACCTAACCTAACCTAACGTAACCTAACCTAAACTAACT